GATATATACGTTCAGATATGTCTAGGCTTAAGATATTTACCAACATATATTATATATATATCATAGTCTTGAAATATATTGGGGGGTGCAACTGACTGACTTCCAGTGTATATTTTATGTGACTGGCTTCCCGGGCGCGGCCGTGTATATATATATATAAATCTATATATATATATATATATATCTATATATATATATATATACATATATAAAAATTTGAACGAATGGTGTTTTTGGCCTCTGGGGACATTAAAATGAAAAAGTAAATCGGTCCCGGGCCTAAGTCTTACCATGAGCCCTACGGTAATAGCTACTTCCCTATAGGGAAATTCGCTAAAAGGCAAAGCCCTCACTGACTCACTGACTGACTGACTCACTCACTCACTCATCACTAATTCTCTTACTTCCCATTTACCTAGGAGGCTGAAATTTGGTACACTGATTCCTTAGGCATTAAATAGGAAAACTAAGCTGTTTTTATTCTGATCGGACTTTCGGGCTCCGCCCCAGTAGCTCTGAAGTTTTCCATTATAACCTTATGAGTACCCATATTTAAATGGAATTAATGAATCTTAACAGCTGTTTAAATCAAACAAGTTGGTTCTGTTCTATGATGTTCAATAGCATTAAAGTTACAAGGATTACCAACAGGGTGCAGCACTATTATTTCTTTTACATTAATGACAACAGCTAATTTGCAACCAAAAGGTGAGTGAGCGTAGCGAACGAACTTCAACCTGGAGGCGAGTTAGCGCAGCGAACGAGCTCCAACCTAAAAGTGAGTGAGCGTAGCGAACAAACTTCAACCAGGACGTGATTGAGCCATGCGAACGAGCTCACTTATGAAGATAAACGGGGCAAAGCCCGCGGGTACAGCTAGTCCATATATAAAGCCCAAAGTACCCATGAACTTTTGAGAAAATTACAAGTCACACCCCTATAAACCATATACTTAAAATGTTTGTTATGACGAAAAACTTTGCGCAATACTATCCATTATTTCATAAATTGCCCTATAAGGTCATAATTGCTTTCCAAAGGGAACTTTCCATATACCTAATGTTAAAAATACCTCAGTTGTACAAGTATGTTATTCTTTCAATTTATTACCTTATTAAAATCAGGTGAGATCACGATTACTAGAAAAATACCGGTATGGATCATAAACATAAACAAATGACGTTTTTGGCCCGAAAATAAACAGTATTTAACATTGCTTAAATGGAACTGCCAAAACATATGTTCAATGATATTAGTATAGGATTCGGGCCAACAACGTCATTTGTTTATGTTTATGATCCATACCGGTATTTTTCTAAGTAATCGTGGGTGTGATTATTTGTTTGTATTACTGTAATCTGTTTTGTTTATCAACTTAAGCAATCAATAACCAATCAATAGTTTTATTACTCTATACATGTATTATTACTCTAAGTTAATACTTATGAAGTCAAACGGGGTGAAGCCCAGGGGTAACAGCTAGTTATAATTAGCTAAAAAACAACATTTAAAAAGGAACAAGGTTATAATAACTTCACAACTAATTATGAATATATTAATAATTATTGTTTAACTGACACTGCAGAACAAATCAAATTCCATCGTTTTGTTTGTCCAGTCAATCCTACATAACAAACAGCTGCCGACCCCATGGATGCATAAATAGCTTTGTGTAGGTTACTAGGTTGCTCGCTGAAAACTTCTATGCTATAACCACTTATTGATAACAACAGCCATTTATGAGCTTTTTATTTTAATTATTGTAGCTATTAGAGGGTAGGCCTAATAAGTGTTATTTAAATGTTAATTACCTAATATAGAAATGCTATGTTGAATAGCTATATTCAACAAATCTTTTTAAGAACTAAAAATTACGTAAAGTTGATGGAACCATTCAACCGAAAAACCGACAACCTTCCAACGGTTCTCAGCCCTTGTTATTTCCTCAAGAACAGTTGGAACCGAGAACCGTCTTTTGGAACCGACATATCACTAGTAACACTTTTGATTGAACAACTGTTAATGTTGGTGAGGGAATAAGGAGTAAGGCCTTTACTAACCTTGATTTTGTTCCGCGGTACAGTATTAGGTGATATTAAACCATCGCACTATGTTTTGATACCATTTTTTAAATGCATTGATTTTGTTAAGCCCCAGTTGCCTTGCATCAATGATAAGAAAAACTTCATCAAAGTTGTATTCAAATTACTAATGATCTAGGGACACCAACAAACGAAGGGGGGGGGGGGGATTGTTGTATACGTTTCATTATGCTTAGTGGCCCAGGATCACTTATAGAATAAAATGGTTTATATTACCTGTCCGTCAGTGATCCTATTGTTGTCGTCTTAGGCGACCGGTTTCAGGATAAAAATCCCATCATCACTGAGTCATGACCACGCAACTACCCGTGCCGCGTCGTAGTGTCCTGTACTGGCCAGTAGCTAGCAATGTTAATCCGTATTTTCGTGTTTCGTGTTGTATGTGTGTGTTTATATGTTTACCGACGACCTCAATTTGAGTGACATGACATTTTTGACAGCCTGATGATGGGATTTTTATCCTGAAACCGGTCGCCTAAGACGACAACAATAGGATCACTGACGGACAGGTAATATAAACCATTTTATGTTGTATACGAATTTGAACCAAAAAAAGTTTTTGAATTAATCACGGATTATCAAATATTGTAACCATCTCAAGGAAAACTAGAATGCAACCTCACTAGAATGCACACTTGCACAAATATGAATGCAAAAATCTTATTTCCTGACACTTAAACAAGTTTTTTTTTTTTTTTATTTAGATTATTTTTAGTTAATTTTAATATTTTAATTAGATCACAACAGAGGTTGTGTTATTTTTTTTTAAAGATGGCTCTAGTTCAGGTTTTAAGGATTGTGGTGAACACGACCATCACCCTGATGTGGATGATTATCAGGTGGATAAAATTGATGAGTGGAAAAAGTTACCTAGTTTCTAGAACTAATAGTCTTTTGTTCTTGTTGTAAACAAGAGTAAAAATTTCATTTTTATCCATCCATTTATCAGTATATTTTATACATTTTAGAGCTTTCCTGATAATCCTGTTTTATAGTCCTTTTAGTCTGTTTAGTCATAGTCCTTTAATAAAATTTTAGGATGGATCAATTAATTTCTTGAAGCTGTATTTAATACCTGATAAACAAAAACACCTCTGTTTTCACGGGATTGAATTTTTAGTTCGGGACGGGATTTTTTTTGTGCATAAAAAGAAAGTCTTGTGAATTGCAGTTACCAAAAAAGACAAACGAAATCAATTTTTACCTTTTTTGGCACTGATCTATAAAAACAAAAAAATGGTTAACAATTTACAGGTACCTATAGAAACTTGTGACTCGCGGTCACGGTGCGATCGTCAAAATGACCGCGGTCACGGGGTGATCGTCAGTATAACTCCACGGTCACAGCGTGATCGTCGGTATGACTCCGTGGACACAGTGCGATCGTCGTTATGCCTCGTGGTCACGGCATGATCGTCGGTATGACTCGCGATCATGGCACGATCGTCAGCATGACGCCGTGGTCACGGCGCGATCGTCAGTAGGACTCCGCGGTCACTAAGTGATCGTCGGTATGACTCGCGGTCTCGGCATGATCGTCGGTATGACTCCGCGGTCACGGGGTGATCGTCGACATGACTCGAGATCACGGAATTATCGTCAGAATGACTCCGCGGTCACGGCGCGATCGTCGTTATGACTCCACAGTCACAGCGTGATCGTCGGTATGACTCCGTGGTCATGGGGTGATCGTCGGTATGCCTCGCGGTCACGGCACGATCGTTGGCATGACTCCGCGGTCACGGCATGATCGTCGGTATGACTCCATGGTCACGGGGCGATCGTCTGTAGGACTCCGCGGTCACGGGTGATCGTCAGTATCACTCCGCGGTCACAGCGTGATCGTCGTTATGACTCGCTGTCATGGCGCGATCGTCGTCATGACTCCGCGGTCACGGCGTGATCGTCGGTATGACTCGCGGTCTCGGCGGGATCGTCGGTATGACTCCGAGGTCACGGCGTGATCGTCGGTATGACTCGCGGTCTCAGCGGGATCGTCGGTAAGACTCCACGGGCACGGCGTGATCGTCGAAATGACTTCGTCTCCTGCGTTCGCGGACCTATCGTGAACATCTCTCGAAATAGAGGTGCCATCGTCACTCGCAAAGCGAGTTGCCGACGATTGCCCAAAATTGCCGACGATCGGACCAAATCCCGTCCCGAAAAATTCCCGAATTAAATGTAATCCCGTCCTGATAATCGGGAATATTTTTTCCCCGAAAAATTCCCAAAATTTCGGGTTCGTCCATCCCTAGTTTTCATACATATTTTTTTGTATAAGCACACATCTTGGAAACATATCCTAGTTAGTACAGAGTATTTCCTAGTATCTTCCTGTCCATTGGTATCTGGAGTCCAAGGTATAGTAATCAATTAGACCAATTATTTCATTATGCACTGCACACTAGCTTCGCACAATTTTTACTGCAGTTGTGTGGATCACTCTTTGTGTTTGTTAGCAGTAACATGTAGTTGAATTACTTGCATTTTTTAATGCCCCGTTCATTTTTTCATACAGTTTTGATTTAGCAATAAAAGGTAGTGCATATATTGATTTTGAATTCTCATTATTTTAATGCTAGGATTCATTAAAGCTGAATTACAAGTAAACCTTTCTGCATTCAAACATTTTATCTTAAATCTCAAAATTCAATCAGCTTTATTTTCCAAAGCCTTTAACACGCTTTTAACACTAACGCTGGTTTAGTGAAGTCCTGGTAGTAGGATTTTTCTCATAAGGTATCTGGTAAGGTTGCTACAATATAAGGTATTTTCGAAACATTCAAACTTAATTTAGAATTAACTTAAAGTTGTTACATAGGTGAGAAACTTGTGAAAACAATACTTATCCATTTATAAATTGACATTCTATTATTAATTATTTCACCTGGTTTACAGCAAGCGCTCATACTGAAGGGTTGGGAGTGGATGAATATCCTGACATCAGTGGAATAACCACTGCTAGGGTGAGTGTTTCCCATCTTCTTTAGACAATCCGTTCTGAGGTTAACACCTCTTCACTGGGAGTTTGTAATGCAAAAATATCACAAACAATTCACCGTTCACTTTGTTTTACTTTAAAACACACATGATAAACTGATCTAACTCCACATTTAAAACGAATTATGTTTCAAGTGGATTTTCTGTTTAATAATTAGTGGTAGCAAGCGGGGAGTTTTGATGTTAGCCTGATCATATCATAATAATAAAAACTTTCTGTATCAGTAAAGTATCAGCATTTAATCCCCTAGATGTATTTATTATAATTTAGTTAGACATCTTACTTAAACTTTTAATTTTTTTACCACTGCTTAGTTAATTTTCTTTAATAATTTATCTACTGTCAAATCTTTTTATACCTGTTAAGCGGTCCACACACTGGGGCACTTGTGCGCGTACATGAGACGTGCGAACAACTCGACGCGCATGCGCCTCAATGTGTGAGTAAATGTGTGCATGCAAGGTGCCTGGTGCCTGCCGCCGGACCTTCAAACATCTGCGGATGCGCGCCAGTCTGTGGTTAACCGAGGCACATTTTCGGAACTAGCAGTTGCTGCATATAAATCGGGAACTACTAGGTCTGCGCCTGCGTGGCTCACACAGTGTAACATTCACTGCCTCACGTGTTATATTTGATTTGTCCTTGTTTGTTCGGTCATTGACTTCTTTGTTGTGCGGTTAAGATGTCCTTCAATGGCCTAAGAAAGTTTTGGTCTGAGTCGTAGGGGTGTGCGAAGCAGCAAAAAATTTTCGATTCGAAGCAACGATTCGATTCAAAAGATTTTCGATTCGATTCGATGCAACTCGATTCGAAGCAATACGGTATTTTTCTATTCATAATTGTCAATTGAGTGGATTAACAATAATTAAAATGTATCACATTTGTGTAATACAAATTTTTGTTGATGTGGTATTAGGCCTATTTCATACTTAACATATGAATTTTAGGTGAAAAAATATTTATTTTCAATCATATGTATTAGAATAACTGCTGGAAATACCAGTGAGCTGCTTTACTTGCCTATTTCATAATTTTTACTTGAATTGGCTCAACTGCAAGAAAGAAGAAAATATTTTTTTTATCAAGACATTCATTCTCATTTTAATAACTGTTTAAATAACTAAATAGGTGCCGGTAGCTAAATTACAACAAATTTGAATGGAACTTAATATAAAAAGACCATTAAGAAATAAATTTACATATCACAAGTTTAGGGCCTGTGGACCGGCTTCAGGACTGCAAGCAAGAAGAAAATAAAAATAATATGTTTCCACCATGCAATATGTATCATTCATTCCCTGCCTCCTAACCTCCTTACTATAATAACCTCACACTTACATTATTTGTTACATCATCATAAATAAAGAATTATTATTGGCATCAGTAGGCCTACAGCTTTACCTAGGCATTATTTTTATAGGGCCTAAAATAGTAATAGGCTAGAAGCAACATGTCAAGTGGAGAACTCATTGAAGAAAAGATATTGTGTAAACTAATTTCCTATAAAACTCAAAAACAGTAAATAACATACAAACATTGTTTATGGTATAATTAATAAGGACTAAAAAATGCATATCATGTCATACAGTAGTATAGACCTACTGCAAGAGATTAAAATCCTAAAACAACTGATTTTGATAGCTAATGAATGAAAAGAATTAAAAATCCATAAAATAAAGCCAAACAATATCACAACTAATTAGGTACCCGAAAAGTAACTCTTAAATAATATATAGAAGATTAAAATAATATTAAATCAAGAGACAAGAAAGTTAAATGCTATCTTCTAGCCTAGTGCCCTTGGCAACACAGGTCAATGTTTTTAAACTACCCTCAATGTTTCTGGAACAGCAGGGCCGCAGGGCCTTTTTCTCTTAATGAAGGGTAGTAGTATGTCAACAAAAACAATGAATCAGTCTCACCAGCCAGGCCCGGGCAACGATGTGTGAATTCAAGGTCATAGACCCTCCCCCTCCCCTCTTACACCACCCGGTTGCTACCCAGTTGCTTCAATTGCTGACAAAATGCAAGTGATGAAACAAGGGAGTAGAGACAAAGAAATATATTTCTTTATTCAAAAACACAAAACTGTTAGAGATTATTTTCAAAGAAATTAATTCAATGTAATTTGTGAGTTGTAAATATTGTATTGGATCTTAGAAATATATTTTTTTAACCCCATCTAACCAAGATACAGATCTGTTCACTATATCAGATATTTCTTTTGTTTATAATTTATTATGTAAAATAATAAAATATATTTTTAATTAGGTATTGAATAAACAATAAATGATTATACTAGTATGTCTGGATAAATAGTCTTTCTATTCTTTTGACTTTGTTTTCTTTGCACTGTTAGTGTTGCGTCATGGCTTTTGTCTTGTTACTCTTATCAGTAGACGACTAGACCTGGCTCTGGCTAGTGGCAGTGCGGCAATTGCTCTGTTGTGTCTTTATTCTTAAAGGTCGTGAGCCAACTTAATTTTTAATTCTCATTTGAACATTTTAATTCCTCTGTAATAATAGATATAATAATATAAGAGTGTTTCTTTGGAAATAAATTATTCTTTTTTTTTCTTTTGCCCCAACAAAAATTCGGGGACGGGGACCGGCAGACACCTAACAAAAATACCAAATGAATCAGTCTATAACATTAATCTTACTAGTTAAGTATTAAGTAACAATTTTTCAGACTTATTTTTAAAATGATTTTGGAGTAACCTACCTTGTTTTGGCTAGGTTCACAGTAGTAAAATATTTCACACACTGCTTACATCAAGACAAAAAACAAACCTCTAATCATTTGCAATGTCAAAACAAAAAAATATAAAACAATTAAAGCTATATTTAATGCAAAGAATGTATTAAATAAGAACGCCTTCGTAAAGGAAACGCAACAGCAACGCGCTCCTGTATTGCGGGTATTGCATTGACTTTCTGCAGGCGTTTTTCGTATATGGATACTGACTCCCTCATGAATCGAATCGTTTTTTGACCACCACTGAATCGAATGGCGATTCGATGCATCGAATCGAATCGAATCGAAATTTTGATGCATTTTCGATGCATCGCACACCCCTAGGTCTGAGTCTATTGAGCTTTATAGATCACAAACGTGTTCTTGAGATGTGAAAAGTGTAAATATTTCAATCAAATAAATGAGAAAGAAAATTATGGAGTCATTGATAACAAAATACAATGGAGTGTTTCCTGACAGTGACGAGATGTTTGTGAAGACTGAAATTCACTCTTTTAAAGCTTCGTATCGATGTGAACCAAATAAACTTATTAAATCTAAGTCTACAACCATGCCTCTTTTCTCACTCTAGTTAGGCCCATAAACGTATTGTAAACCCAAAATCCATAATACATACAACTAATAACTCACCCAATTAATTGAAGTATTATCACGTCTGATATCTTTTATAAAGGCAAATTTTATTCTTTAGTGACTTTGTTTGATAGTTATTGATACTTTGAAAATGTTCTTGTTAAAAAAATGCAAAATGAAAAACAAATAGTTAAAAAATAATATGGTGATGATACAATGGAGTTTTTTAGAATTATTTCAGTGCAGGGTGAATCCACCCATGCACAACGGTTTGGCCCAAGAAGTGTTAAAATACATTTTTGGTTGAAAATCCACCATTAAAAATTTTGTTTGTGGGTTACAGTTTTTAAATATCACTTTAGGCACTTTTCTTTCAGTGTTGGGATCATTAAAAGTACAAATATATGTCCGAACTATAAGTTTTTAAATTAAAAACAAATCCAAAATCTAAGAAATTTTACAAATTTTAGAAGTAGGGCATTTTTCAAGGTGAAGGAGTGCGACTTTCAAAGAACGCCTATTTAAATCTTGTAGAAAGTTTAATTTCTGACCATGAAAATTCTTTCAAATCTTTGCTAGGTCTTGCCGTTTTCAAACCTTTGGCTTGTGGGCCTTAAGTCTGGACTTATTAATTATTTTGATTTCTATTTTAAATATATTACAGCTGATGTAATGTTTACAATTTTAAGATTGAGGAATGAGTAAAAACAAGATTTTATTTTTAGTTTCATACAACCATGAGTTGTAATTATTTAATTCATTAAGACCAACAATCACATAAGACCAAGAGATGGAGCACACCTATCTAACTGACATTCAAGCAGCTGAAACCAGGTCCGCCATCTTACTGTAGGATAGAAGCGCTAGATGCCAATGAAAACGGCAACAAAACTCAATGTTCCGTTTCAAAATAACTTGACATTTAGCCTACTTAGACTAAAGGTAAATCTTTAAAACTTTGTATTGAGAGATGTAAATAAGTCTAGGACACTATTGGTTCTAATTAAAAGCTTAAGAGTTAATATTTTCTATTTTAAATCTTCAATTAAAGTCGGTACTTTTAAATGAGTTTTAAAATATGACATTAAAAAGTTTGTCAGCTGCTACTTTTTTTTATTTTTTGGTCAGGTAAGTTAAAAAATGGTGGATTTTGTAGCTAAAGAGTTGAATTTTTTTGATCATATTTTTTTAAATCTTTAGCTGGTGTAGTTTAGTTGTAATTTAAATTATACTATAGGGACTACCCGCCGCGCCGCGTTGCGTCATGCGGGCAGGTTCTGCCTACAAACTCACTTGTAATACAGTTTAGATACTCAAGTTTGGAGCTATAAAGAAAAGTTTATAAACTAATTGAAAAAACACGGAGTACATATAAATGTTCTTAGTTTTATTCTTTGTATTCATCTAAAAATGTGATGCGGTAAGCGAATAGGGACCTCTTGTCGGGAATTTTTGATTTTGAGTTATATATATATATTTGAATTCCTTATTTAATTCTGAATCACTTGGTGCAAGTCCCATGTATCTACGATTTTTTTTGTTAAATAAAGTTATAGGACTTTGAAATTTTGTTATGGAAAATGGTCATTTTGAGAAAAACCATTTTGAAAACTTCAAATACGCATAAAAACAGTTTTTTTGTATTTAAGAAACGATTTTGGTATCAAAAGAATGCTTATAATGTCCTCTTTGGGGGGCAAAACCAATTTTTGTCTTAACTCCCGGTAGTTTTAATTTAAATAATTGTTTTATTTAAGCATGTCGTAAAAATTGCATTTCAGAAAAGGGACCTCTTGTCGGCCCTATGTTATTTCTCCATAAGATAAGAAAAGGTACCTCTTGTCGGGACCGCAAAATTTGTGAGATATTTTGTTCTCCGTACACTGAACTTTGTTATAGTTCTCTAAATTTCGTCTAGAATGCAGGACAATTCGTATTTTGGACTTAAGTCTGTTTATAAAGTGAATATTAGAAATGGGACCTTTTGTCGTTATGGCGAAATAACATTGAGCGACAAGAGGTACCTTTTCTCAGACCGTGCAAAGGCTAACAAAATTATTTATTACGACCTTTAGCGTCTTCTATTCGATATTTTAACCGATACTGTCCTGTTCTATGATAAATGAGGTATAACAATAGAAAAAAAACCAAATTTCGATATTTTCGACCTTAGGCCTAATTACTTATATCGGCCTAATTACTTGCATCACCGACAAGAGGTCCCTTTTCGCTTATTTGTTTTTAAAATTAATATGGCGGTCAGAATATATAGGAGAGTTATATGAGTTTCAGAAACTTGTCTTGTGACTTTTAAAATTCGTACATTGTAAACCAAACGCCAGAACTTTATCAAACTTTAATACGATATAGATACATATATTAAAAATTAATTTGTAGCTTTTCAGAATTTTTCTTTCCCCCAAAAAGTTTTTGTTGATAATTATGTAAACCAACTTTTTCTAAGAAACAGTAAACGCTAGAAAAAAATTAAAAGCGTATTTTGAAGGTCATTGTGTTAGTAATAGAAATATTTGTAATACAAAGGCGTATTGTCACGGATATCATTGATATCAACTAACATTTAATTAGTTGCGCACGCTACTAGGGCTCATCACAGCCGGCAGCCGCCATCTTGGTGAAGATTAGTGAAAAATACTGGCTTCACGTCGCGGCCAACGTGCTCCATCTATTGGTCTTATGTGATCGTTGAGTACGTCACATCTACTCGTAAATTCAAAGCCATATGTGTTTTCTCTGTAACACCTCTTTTCACTCTTCCTAATTTTTAACCAATCAATACGATAAAAGTGTAATTTTAAAGCCCAAAATCTAGTGCTTAGAGCTATGTCTCCGTAGCCTTTGATTTATTTTTATGTGGTCCCTTAAAGGTCCATATGCTGCTAGCCTACTTTTTATAATGGTTTTAAATGTGCATCCTTATATATAATACGTGAAGGCGATTTCTACAAAACACTACTCCTCCATTAATAATGGACCGATTTTTACAAACGACGTGTCAAAATAAGGTATTTTTTGTGTAGACGCCCCCTTTCACCAATTCCTGTAATAAAAATCCTCGGGCTTTGCCCCACAGGCCATCAAAGTTGGAGTTTCTCCCATAAGATTAACATGGGGGAATCCAAATATTTAATTGTCCCCACTTATTTGAGAGAATGGCTGGGCGTAGAAACTTGGTAGAGGTGTCCAAAGAAAGGTCCCGGTCTGTAGATGAGTTATCAAAAGAAAAACTAATCAAAATCCCTTAGGACTCTGCCCCAGAAGCCTTTAAAGATCCCTTTACAGAGTTGTTTACATTTTGGCCATGTGAATAATACTTTTTAATGAAACTGCTGTTCATTTTTAAATTGTATTTCAAACAACACACATTTATTGGGAGTTACTGAATTCTACCAAATAAGTATTTGCAATGTTATTTTCTGATTGTAAAATTGATTTTCTTCTTTATCATGTCATGTTTTGCAATATAACGTTCCATTACGTAAGCAGTGGAAAATCCTTTTATCACAGCAATTCTTAAATTATTTCTTATTGAACTATCTTATATCTATTGTACGGGTTGGTGTCTGCCTTTTTCACCACTTTTGCCTACATTTTATCATACTATTCAACACATATGAAATATTTATGAAGAAATATCTGCTCTTATCGTGTCTAATAAAATCCAAACATAGAAACTTTGTCTAAAATGGTACCCATATTGACAAATTATTTGCACCTGCCTATATTACGGACTTTGGCACGGTTTGTTAACGTTATTGAAAATAACACGACATTTTGGCTGTAAAAGATGGTACAGAGAGAAAATACGTTTTAAGCAGCTACTTTCATGACAGAAAGGTCATATTCCTTTTAAACTAGATCACATAATTCTTTATAAGATACGTTGATTAACCATATGTAAACGTCAATATATACGTAACAGCCAATTTACAGTATTTTTGCTTTTTGGAAATGTCCCATTGCTATGTCATTTGCATTATTTGTTGTCTATGAAGCCGCACGACCATATAAACGAGGAGGCCCCTAACAGTACAAGAATAAAAGCCAACTTCACTTCAAGTATTCCACTACATCAAACATTCCGTAGAGAGATTATATTGACAACTTTGTTATTTATAAGGCTGAGACAACTAACTGACATCCCCCATGTCAAGGAATTTCAGCTTTAACAGTAACCCCACAATCAATAATTTCTCAAAACTATGCTAGAGGGTTCATTCATTGGCACAGAAGTACGATATGAACTGACGCGACGTGACGAAGGAAAAATTAAACTTACGCTGTAACGGATATACCTCCCTTTGAAGTTAGAATATGTCTTCCCAAAAAAAGTTTTCTTTTGAAATAAAATCATATTACACTGATGAAATCACAAAAGTGTTTAACTACAAAAGATCCATCAATACGATTTTAATACTATTTAAACGTTCTTCCAAAGGAAGATATACCATATAACATACTAACATACTAATAATAACTCCGATGACGTACGGTATGGGGAATATTTTATTCATTGAATGATCAACCAAATTTGGCAACGAACGCAATTAATGGCATTATTGTTTTTACACTTATTGCTAAATGTTCAAAATATGTATATTTCACCCAATTTATCGCAGTTAGATGAATTAACGTAAGCCTTGAAAGTAACCCGTCGAACTAGTTTTATTTAACAGCTGATTAGCTATTGAATTTCTAACCATAGCAAACAAGAGACAAGACAGTTTATGATAATGAATCTTAACAGGCTACTTTTATTTATCCTTTTTTTAGCAAGTTTAAGATAGATCTTTAACTCTCTTTATCACATAGATCTACAATCACCATATTTTATACAATGTACATGAATAGTTTTATTGATCTAATAACTGATTAAACAAAGAGACATAATTTAATAATATTTGAAAATGTTTGATGATAGGAAGCGATGCGCAAGATGACAGAGGAGGACAAACAGAAGATAGCTCAGCAAGTAGAGTTCTTCCGCAGTGAGAAACTTAAGTTCGATCGTGAGGTGGCCAAGTGGGATGACACTGGCAACGACATCATTGTGTTGGCCAAGCACATGTGTATGATTATGATGGAGATGACAGACTTCACCAGGTATTACATAGCAGGCAAAACATTGCTAAGAGAAAGCTTTAAATATAGTCAAGATTTGACGATTAAACTGCCTCTGAGCTGTGGGTACTGTGAGATGTATTACTCACCAAACCTTATATTAAGTATATATTATTTTTAAACTAAAAACATAATGTAGGCTATTAATACTAGGATTGCTTTCATAGTAATGAAAGTAAGTTGAGCGGAGCAATCATATTTCATAGTTTTTAATAAAGCAATAAATGAAAAAAAATATAGATATAATACAAAATAAAAATTTTTCCACACTCTGCTAGCCTTTGCTACTTCCTTCACCACTTCCTACGTCGTGGACCTGTTTTCCTCTCTTTCTAGACCATTTTAGTGTTGCAGATACATTAATGTAACTGCCACAAACGGTTCACACACTGTGCACTTCTCGCCTTTTCTTTCCTTCACCACTTCTTACGACATTGACCTGTTTAAGTTTGCCATTTATGAGATTGATCCATGAATGTGATTCACTAACAAACTGTTTAAGACAAAATGTTATTTGTTATAACCTTATTTAGCTACGTAAATCAAATCTGTTAAATACTGTACCTAAGAAAGTATGTTTTATCTATGACTGTACCTATTCGATCAGTGGTCATTTCCAAATTGGGACTTAAATGTAAACCTAAGACCTACTCTGTAGCATTTGATCAATCGTCATCGTCCGAATCTTTTTCCTTTGTACTGTGTTTAGGTTGTGGTTTGATTTTAACTTATGCTATGATACTTTGTTTTGTTTACATTTACGTCATTATTTTGTAACCATCATGGCAACCCATAAGACCAATGTTAAAATTTAAAAACTTTGAGTTACTTAAAAATTATATAGGCATTATCAAAAATTAAAAATTGAAATTGGTTACGTCTAAACCATCCAAACATTTGACAAAACAACCTTGGTAAGTTTGGCTAAATTATGTTCAGCCTTTATTAAAATTAAGTGTTGTAAAGATTGCATTGAAGTTGATCCCAAATTATGCTTTTAAAAATGACATTTATTTATGTAATGGAATTAAGTTCTCCTCTCAAATAGCTTGAAGCTAGATAGGTATAAAAGACACTGTGGTATACAAAAAATTTTGTTTGTGAGAAATAATTAATTGAATTGACTCATAAATCCCTGTTTACACAAGCCCAGTAGGAGAAGATGATGCTGATTAGACAGCCGCGGGAGATTTTCATGATTTTGCTGTGATCGCCTAAGACAACGATCACGTTTTGGTGACCGCGGGTGTCGATGATGATGTCTACATGGCCGTGGGAGATGTTCAAGATTTTGCTGTAATTGCACTAAACGATGATCAAGTTTTCGTGACCGCGGGAGACGATGGTGATGTCTTAACGACCGCGAGAGATGAACCGAATTTAGCCGCGATCACGGAATACGATGATAATGTCTACAGGGCTGTGAAATATTAGTGAATTGCTGGGATCGCACAAGACGACAATCCCGTTTCCGTGACCGCGAGACTTTATGATAAGATAATGTCTACATGGCCACGGGAGATGATCAGAATATCGCCGCCACAGCGGAAGACGATGATAATGATTACATGGCTGAAAATTTGTAATTAGTTTGCCGCAATCGCTCAAGATGACGATGACTTTTCCGTGATGCGGTAGTTGATGATGATGTCTTACACAGCCGCAGGAGATTATCAGAATTTTGCTGCGATCGTTGATGATGATCTACGACCGCAGATGATCACGCTATTAGCTCTAGTTTGGTTCTCAAGCATAGTTCTTATTTTTATTATGTTTAAGACTTAAGTACTATGATTTTATATACTGTTTTATGAGTTAACTAATGTTTTCATTCACATTCTGAAACATTCTTCTGTTCTGAAACATCATGTAGTAGTAGCCTTTGATGACTACGTTAGCAGTAGCTTACTAGTCTAGACTTTCTTTTATTTTGTTCTTTACGTGATTTATTGCAGTACAGTGTTTAGCAATTTTTGTTTTGTTTGAGTAAGCGTGTTTAAATGTTACAGTTTTTATTACAGTGAGAATGGGTAGCAGAAAAATATTTCAGTTCTGGCGGGGAACATGCCACTTGGAGTGGTGATAATATATAAGACCAAGAATGTAAAACTACCCAGACCCCAATTTTTAAGGACCTCGGTTGTCCGTAATGACGTCATCAATATGGCGGCCATAAGAGGATGCTCGGTCGCCATGAATTGGTTGTAATACCGGGTCGCCGGAATTTTATCCCCCTGGAATTTTACCCCCTGGGCAAAGCTGACGTCACTATGACGTAGTAACCTGAGTGGCCAAAAGTTTGTTCGCGGCCGGAATTGTACCCCCGCGGATTAGAAGTCTAATGAAAATAGGCAGAGCGTGATTAATTAGATTAGCGATAAAAACCGGAATTTTACCCCCTGTCCATATAACTAGCGTTTGGACAACTGAAGATGTACGGGCCGGATTTTTACCCCCCGGAATTTTACCCGCTGGCCGATTTTAGAAATTGAATGATTGATTTTCTTATTTCTGTTTTTAATTAATTGCAACATTTCATTATTTAGTAGAATATCTTTATTTAATTATTTTGTAAAGAAATGTTCGAAACAATTATCATTCAGTTGATTGTTTATAAGTTATATTAACCAACTGTTGGCTTCAAAGATCGAATCCTAATACTAGAATCTCGAAATTAATATTAAAAACTTGTTCAATTAGTTAATGTTACAAATAAATTAATATAGGCAACTTAATAATAAATGTTTACTATTAAATTAAAACAGAATCAAGATAATTAATCATTTGACTAATTTATATATCTGGCCAGGGGGTAAAATTCTGAGGGTAAAAATCTGGGGGTAAAAATCCGGGGGATAAAATTCCGGGGATAAATTCTGGGGGTAAAAATCCGGGCCGTACACTCTAGGTTTTTATAATTTGATGTGTTCTGATTAAATTCACAACCGTAAAAATATATGTTTAATTCCGCGTTTAATCCATGGAGCTGATGTCGCGAAACTCAAAAGTTCACGGCCGGAATTCTACCCCCTGGTTTGTGACGTCACGTTTGCCCAGGGGGTAAAATTCCAGGGGGATAAAAATCTGCTACCCCGTAATACCCAAATGCCTGAACAGATTTTAATTAAATTTGGCATACAAGTGCTTGAATACAATATCTCAGCCCAGGTTTTCAATGGTCAAGTTTGATCAAGTCATTTCTGTTGAAATTACATGTAGTACTTTATTGTGTAATGGCAAAATGTTCTGCCTCCTAGAAACTGTCAAATAAGTAATAGTTTAATATGTTCTTATGTCTTATGTATCATATGTTTTTGGTTTTGTGTTATGAAAATAAGATAAATAATTAGAATGGTTTGAATAGAAATAAAGTTTGTTACAAGTTCAGCTATGTCCTTATTTAAATGTTAAAAGCTACAATTAAAAAGTAATTAAAGTAAAAGTAAAACTACAAAATTTAACAGAAGGTTATGGGCCCAGTCCCAGAAAAATCTTGTAACAATAATAACTAAAAATATTTATGTGAAAAGAAAATAGTAATACGGGTAAGATGACATCAGTAAATAGTGATGAAATAAAATGCATACAAAAACTGAAAGACTCTAGCACATTTCCTATGTGGCATTTTGATGTAAAAATATTAATCACTGCGAAGAAATTAATGGACATAGTGGATAGAACAGAACTTTTGGCTGAATACCATTATACAGGCAAAATTGAGAAATGGAAGACAAAAGATGCAACTGCTAAACATGTAATATTGAGAACAGTTGATAACAAAGTCAAAGTCCATCTCATGCCATGTGAAACAGCAAAAGAAATGTATGATACACTATTGAGAATATACATAAAAGACACTGGTCAACAAAAATTTTTACTACTTCAAGATTTTTACAATTTCAAGTTTAATCAATCCAAAGACGTAAATACTAATATTGGTGAAGTTCAAAACATTGTTTGTAAATTAAAATGTCTAAATGAGGAAATCACAGATCAAATGATGATTTCAAAGATAATGACTATCCTCCCGGAACGCTTTAAGCATTTCAGCAGTGCCTGGGATTCTACTCAGGAGATAAACTAAACCCTCGAGAATCTCATTGCAAGACTGACTCTAGAAGAGGATAAAGTGAAAATGGCAAGTAAAGAGGATGAAAACGTATCTTTTAAAGTGGAAGCAAATTATGGAGGTAAGAAGAAAGTAACATGTTTTTCATGTGGTACAACAGGACATCTTAAAGCATACTACCCAAAGAGATGGTGCTCAATATGTAAGAAAAACAATCATGATGAAAACAACTGTAGATTTAAAGTCTGTCGAATTTGTAAAAAGACAAATCATAGAGAGGAGGCCTGTTTTTTTAGGAATAAAGGTAAGCCTGAAAGAAAGAAATTTAATAAAAGTCACAAAAACACTCAAATAGCTTTTTTAAGTAAAAGTGAAAAATGTCTAGTTAATAATAACAAATTATGCCAATTCATGGTAGACAGTGGAGCAAGTTCTCATATAAAAGTCAAAGTGAATATTTTAAAGAAATTGGACAATTTTCTAGGAAAATAAATACAGCTAAAAATGGTCAAAGTATGTCCTGTAACAGGGGTTGGTTCAATTGAATATGATGAATGCTTTTTAAAAAATGTGTATTGTGTTCCTGAATTGTCTAAGAATCTGATGTCTGTAAACAAAATCTTAGTATCTCATTATTATTGTTATGGTGGCTGACTGATAATGATAATGATAATTTATTTGCGCATAACATATAAACTTGTGAAAATCACATGTACAGGTGCTTCATCTTGATTTCTTCTGACATACAATACAATATATTAACATGTGGATTATTAATTAATAAATTATTTGTATCACGTTGTAGAGGACGTGGCCCCCTGAAGACGACCATGGATGTGATCAATGCAGCCAAGAAGATCTCCGAGGCTGGTACTAAGCTGGACAAGCTGACTCGCCAGATAGCAGACCAATGTCCTGAGAGTAGCACCAAGAAGGATCTGCTGGCCTACTTGCAGCGCATTGCACTGTATTGCCACCAGCTCAACATCACCTCCAAGGTGAAGGCTGACGTACAGAACATCAGCGGAGAGCTCATCGTCAGTGGGGTAGGTGGAACGTAGTATAGCTGGGTGGCTGAGTGGTTATGGTCCTCGCCTTGTGTTCAAAAGGACCCTGGTTTAATCCTGAGAAAAGTAGCTTTTTGATGGTGCAATACTAGGCTCAGCTGTCCTTGTTCATTTGGGTTTTGATATAAGGTCATATCTAAAAAAAACATAAACACAAAACAACTGGTATTTGTTGGTGAGTAACGGAGCTACACATGGCACCTCACTCCTTTCTCTACTGATCCTTCATTCATAAATTCAGACAAGTTCAACTACATCCAGTTTCTTCCCATCCTAATTGAAAATTGGCAGTATTACCAAGTCAGAAAATCAAGCTTGTGCAATGCAAGGTCACGCAATTGAAAAATTCATGCTTCGGCCACAACTGTGAAGACAATATAGTTTCCATGATTGCGCCAGAAATGATGTTACCACAGCCAATGCTTATATTCAGGATATTTCCGCAATCAAGGAAGATGTAATTATGATGTTGGTAAAAAAATTTTACCTACTACTAAAATTAGTATTTGGTATAAAATCAGATTTGAATTCAATAACAAAATTAGGGGAAAGGTTTAAAATGTTCAGCAAGTTTAAGCATACCTTTTTGTTTAAAATTTATATTAGCTTGTAAAATAATTGTACACTATTATCGTCGTCCAGTGGTCAAAAAATCTACCAAAAATATCTAATGTCTGACTTCTCTATTTTCACCCCACGCTGTAATCCTGAGGTTTAATTGTTATTATAATTGTTAAACTATAGAAAATACCCAGTATTTGTTCACGCTGCATTCGAAAAAGGCTATCAGTAGAAAGAAAATCTTCACACTTTCCTTCCCTTGAAGTATTAGTCACTGCAAGAACTTGGGCTCTCATTGAAACTACAGTAGAACCGGAACCTTTCATTTAACCATATTTTTTCTAAATGCAATAGCATTTTCTGGAAACTCAGGACTTTTTCCGACTGAAAACAATTACATTTTTTTGTTTTAGCGTGAAGAATTCAGTAAGGAGACACATTATAATAACAATTTTATTAGGGTGGGTTGTATTGAACTTTTGCCATAAACAATATTTACACTAAAATGTTAGTTTGGCGTATTTTAAGACCAAAATTAATCTCTTGGCACTTTATAAATCATCATCTAATGTACAAAAGAGATACTAAAGTATGTACAGTGCTGAAGTATATTGATAGATTATCCTTTAAAGCAAGTGTAGGTTTTGGCATTTGTCGGTTTGCGACATTTATCGATAGAGGACACGCTACGGATGCATACTGATCCAACCTCTAACCAACCTAGCTGCAATTCATAAAATCAAATGAATTTGCCAAAATGGTTGTTTTGTATGCCATATAACATTATACATAAGTTTGGCTTCCTAAGATAAAGCCACAAATAGGCCTAGTATGGTAAAAATGAGGTTTCCAAGGGAACTGTAGTTAAAGGATGGGCAAAGCCGTGTCATCCGATTGCATATACTGCCCAGGCATTCCCGATGACGTGGAACATACCTTTTTCCACTGCCAGCGTTGGGAAAGGCCCTGCCTGGAGGCTCAATAGTTAGTATTACTGCTGTCAGTGTACACGGTCATACCGATGATGACGGAGGGTGAGGACAATTGGACCTGTGTGTCACATTACATCCAGGATATTCTCCGCGCCAAGAAGCTCGACCTTGACCGGGATGCGGTGTAGGTCATAAAGTATCTAAATACCAAAAACGGTGAGAGCCCTGAGGGCTTAGGTCACATGTTGGCCTGACTTGAAGTAATGTGACAAACAATTCCAGGTCTGTGTCCAACAGAGTAGAGGGGGTTTTTTAGTGAGTAGTCTGTGATAGATTCAGGAGTATCACACAACAGGCTGGCTACCTGTGTGCGTAAAAGCATTTTCCCTCCTCTCCCTTAAAAAATAAAAAAAAATTAAATGTGTTGAGTAAACATTGCCTTTTAAAGAAATAAAATGAGCTAACAATTTGTTCTAAGCTTAGTTCTTGGTTTCCTATTCTTCTTCAAGATTCAAGATTCAAGATTCAAGATTTATTTAGGCCATTAAGTTGATTACAATAGGCTTTGTCTTACATAAAATTCTTATGTACTTAGATCAATTATATTTATCTCTACATCATAACATTAAATTAATACTTTAATACTTTAACACTTTTAATACTTTTCAATGCAAATTTTGAAAGAAGGTTTGACAAACCAACTAAGTATACGACATTACGTAAAATGCATGATATAAAAATGCTTGGGGATTAATGTAGGTACACATTCTATTATTAACACTACAATGATGTGATTTCTTTGTATACGCCTTAGTAATTTATCAATTGCCTACCTGTATGTTTTTTAATGTTGGGTTTCTGTGGTGGAGATGTTAAATCCATAATATTAAAAAATATCTTTTCTAATTTTCAGCTTGACAGTGCAACATCGTTGATCCAAGCCGCCAAAAACTTGATGAATGCCGTTGTACTGACCGTGAAGGCATCTTACGTTGCAAGCACCAAATATCCTCGACCAACGGGACAAGTTGTTGTGAGTAGATTCTTTAAACCTTTTTTAAACATATTTATATATGTGTCTGTTAGAAACGATACCTAACTCATATCCGATTTTGATGAAATTTTGTATAAACATGTAAACGTGCATTCATTCGAACAAGTTTGCGAACCAGCATGATCGGACTATGGGAACAGGGGTTTATAGGGGTTTTATGCGGTAAAATTTGGCCTTTCCCATTTTTGAACCTAAAAACATAAAATTTGGAAATTTCTTGCTTTAAAAGATTCCAAACAACTTTGTAGAGCACAAGAAAACAAATAATTTAGTATATAGAAGCATTGTTGTATACCTGACAGTTAAGGAGAAAACTCCAAAAAAACTGTAATTTAAAATTCCGATGTTATTCTTATGGAGAATAAGTAAACCGTTGTAGTTTGCTTCTTTATAAACAAATTTTGATAAAATTTGGAAAATTTATTCATTTTATACTAAACTATCTACATTTAACTATTAAAAACCTTATTGCCTTCCCTGTAGCAGCAAACCTTAGTACTTGTTAAACTAATGTTATTAAATTAGGAATAAATATGACATTTTTAACCCTCGAGGAGGCCCTTCACTAGTAAAACAGGAGCGGACGCATGCGGAGTTTTATTTCGTAACACTAAATAGCATAAATTTTACCTATTTATTTTACTTGTTGTTACCTAAATTTTACTTGTTGTTATAACAAAATATTATATGTAAATGTTGAATAACCTAATCAGAAACCTAATTTCTTTGTTAATAACATTATTTGTTTAGCTTTATATGAGTAATTGAGCAATTTTCTAGTATAAAGGTATGTTACAAGAGAGGACGGGCACGTGCAGAGTTTCGTTCCACAATAATGCAATTATACATATACATGCAAACAAAATATATTTGATAATAATTATAAATGAAATAATACATTTAAACATGTTTATAATTTTGTATGTATAAAATATACACACAGTTCGACAATAGCGGTAGGGAAATAAACTCTGCGCTAAGGAGTTACACGATAGGACGCACACGGAGTAAACCTCCGCACACTGACACCGCGTCACTGAATTGCAACTGACAACAAAATGAGGAGGAATTCGGGGGTAAAAATAGCCTAGGGGCATTCCTAGGATGAGGTGCGTGAAGTGTAGAGCCGGACACAACTGCCGACACCCATTATGCATATTTATATTAACAAAAACTACAAGTGCGGGGGAAAACTCTGCAAGCGCCCGCTCGAGGGTTAAAGAGATATTTTAGAGAAAATCCAATCAGGCAAATGGAAATTCGCTTAGACTGCAGGTTTGCTGTGGCGGGGTATTTTATTTTTTTAACACAACGGCTCATGTGATGTCCCTAAAGATGTGTATAGGTCCTCCTAAAAAATTAGGCCTAGCCTGGATCATTTGACTCTTAGTCCAGTCAAATCGTCGTTGAAATTACGTTACAAAAAATAACTACGACGATTTTTTTTTCTTATTCTATGTTTTTTGGGGCGCTGAATCCGAATCTGAAGAGATCCAACAAAAATTCCTTGTGCGTTTTGATATAGACGCAAATAACATGAAAATCTTCACACTTTTTTCAGTTTCTTGCTTATAACTCGGAAACTACGTGTTCTACTAAATTTTAGTAAATATGAAAATGAAAGATTATTAAATTTCCAAAAAATACATACATGTCGTTCTTTATCAAACGCACACTTAGCCCGCTAGAGCACGCTCTAGACTTTGGAAGAGCTGTGAAATAGACAGTGAACATTTAATTGAGCTTACAATAAACTAATGTTTGTGTTAATTGTAAATGTTTATTTTCAAACCTAAACAATCTTATTCTGTGGTAATTGGTAATACAATTTAATAATTTATCTTTTTTATTTCCTTTATTTCTAGAAAGAGCTAAGTTGGCACAGTATCAAATGTAAACTTTATGACACGTTTGGCATAACTAATTATTATAGTTTTGGTTTTGTGTGTTTTCTACGCCAATGTTATATGTTAAATAAGTTAAATTCAAGATTATAGTGTGATGGAAACAAATTGTTTCACAACAATCATGTCATAAAAATTTGGCTAGTTAAAAAATTTAAATAGTTGAATAGTCAACTCAAAACTCAAGTAGTTGCATCCAATACCCGACTCCACTCATCTGAAAAATCCACTACTTGCCCACTCCTACACTTTTGCAAAAATGTCTTTTCCGTCAAAGTATTCATTTCAAGAAAGATTATTAGATTTGTTGTGAATCTATTATGTATCAAAATAATTTATGGCAAAGATAATACTTGCTGATTATTCTTCCTGATTATGAACATTTCTACTTTCCATCCTCTAATAAATTATATGTTTTGTTGTTACAGAGTCCAATTGTAGTGTGGAAAATGAAGGCTCCAGAAAAGAAACCTCTAGTTCGCCCCGAGAAACCAGAAGAGGTCCGCGCTAAAGTTCGTAAAGGTTCACAGAAAAAGGTCCAAAACCCTATTAAAGCTCTGAGTGAATTCCAGAGTCCTACTGAAAGTGTTTAGGTTATTTTATATATTTATATTTTTTTAATATTTATGACCATATTATAATCAGTATTATATGAACAAATCATGAATATAATTGTGTTTTATTTCAACTTTGTCTTATTTTTCTGTGTAAAATTACCCATGAGGCCTGTCACACACTACATTATGTACCATGGTACAACTTGACATGAGATGACAAGACAAGCCATTTTGACTGGAGACAGTGTTGAGTTTAATTGAGCTGCTCCATACTCTACATTGACTCAGACAAGACACCAGGAAATGCTTTGTTAAAGTTATTTCCATGTTGACTAAGATGCAGAATAGTTATTTGTGTGACTATTGTGCGAAGTGACACTTTGCTGCACATGAGAGAAATTTTTACTTGATTGCAGCAAAGGCACTTTGTGCTCCCGTTACAAAAAAATTGTTGTTAGCAAAAAAATTTAAAATCCTCGGACGAAAATAAAAGTTTTTTCCATACAAACGCTTGTTTTAGATTATAGGATAGTTAGGCCCCGTCCTAGGTGGACGACGAAAAATCGGTCGGTCGTCCGTGCGAGCGAATCAAGATTCGCACGGACGGACGACGGAAGTGAGTGTCCATAGTGGGGCGTGAAGTCGTCGCAGCGACTGACGTCAGTTCCCTCCCTCTCATTCGACCAGTGCCACCATGTTATCGGTTGTGAAAAGACGTAAGTTCGTGCTGCTGGACAGTTCTTCTATAATCTATTCTTACCTTTAGAAGAAATCGGACCGCAGAAGTGCTACAAATGAGATTTTTAAGGAGAGGTATGAATTTGATGAGTTTCATCATTTGTAAGAGAAGTTGAGATTGTACCCTGAACTTTTCAAAAACTACACTAGGATGTCAGTGGATACATTTGACCACATCGTCACCGAATTGAAGAAGGACTTTACATTGAAGACAACAAACTTTCAGCGGCCAATTTCTATGCAAGAACTACAATCGCACTAGTCGGTCGGACGATCCGCACGACCAAAGACAAACATGTTTGTCTTTCGTCGGTCGCGTCGGTCGTCCGACGTTGTCGGTCGCATCGTCGATCGCCCAGCTAGGACGCTCTCACGCTTATCCACTTGTTTGAAATATTTTGGTGCGACAGATTCGCTCGCACGGACGACCGACCGATTTTTCGTCGTCCACCTAGGATGGTGCCTTAGTCTTACAAACTCTATACAACACACTTATGTTAAATTTAGGTCAGGGTGAAACAAAATGGGAAACACTGCGTTGAACAAAAAATTGAATGGGAATCAAAGACCTTTTTCCTACAGTTACCTGACAAAGCGTACATTCTTTTACTGATTATAGCACTCAAAGTAGCTAACTGCTGCATTTACTAACTTGTGCCGCACTCCAGTATTCCAACCAAACAACAAAAAACATTGTGCTTTTATTAGGCATGTACAGTAATACGTGTACGCTTGAAAATTAGTTGGCAACACTAAAGATACTACGACTACGATCAGCTGGTGCAGTGTTTCCCATTTTGTTCAACGCTTGGATTCAACCTAAACTAAAACGTGTTGTTTAGTGTTGGGAAAGACGTATCTCTGCAGCAAAGTACCACTTCGCACACAAGTTACACAAATAACTATTCCCTACACTATTGTGAATATGTTTATCACCTGCAAAAATTCATCATTACATTGTTGACTACACAAAAAGAATTTTTACTATCTTTTTTTGGATTTTGCCGACATAATCAGTCAAAGATTTGTTAGGCCGGTGACACACTACCTGGTTTAGCAGGATGAGGTTTAGCGGGATGTGTTTTTACCGCATTGACATTGCCCTGTCACACTTGTCCCGTTCTACCGCAACATATTTCGAGTACAGGGCGCGAGCATCACATGCAGTGCACTGTTGATAGGGACAACATTACGATGTTGTCTAAAGTGAAATTTGTCTGTGCTCTTGAAGCAAGTGGTTTGTTGCGAAAACCTTACGTAGGCGTTATTGGGTACACCCTTTTCATTGCGAAAATGATAGAGATGAACAGTTTAAAAGTTGTATGTATAAGTAACATTGTAAGTAGACATTGTATTGAAAGTTTATGTATAAGGCAATATCCTCGCACGTTTTTTAATTATTATAGAATGTCCGTCACATCTTTTGATGAGCTGCCGCAGGTTTTGAGGCCACATTTAACGAAGATCAGTACATAGTTCAGGAATTCAATCAGTGCTGAAGCATGATTAACAATAACTCTACCTTTAATCTTTCACCTTTAATTCAATCTCGAACCAGTCGCTGAACATCTCTTCTCCAACTAAATTCCAACATTTCTCATGTTCAGTCCTATCAGAGTACTCTTGAAGGTGTTTATCCCACAGTGCAGGTAGACCGTGGACACATTCGATAAACTTGTCCATGTCGAACATGCTAAACGCGCGCGGCTAAACAGGACAGTGTGACAGCTCTCATTTAACTGCATGTACGAGTATTTATCTTTTCATCCGGTCGTCCTGCCACGCCGCAGCACCTGGCAGTAGATCCCGTCGACGCGCCGCAACCGCATTAATGTGACAGCTCCCATTAAAACCCATGAGTTTGAATCATCTTGCCAAACAGGTCCGTTTAACCGGACCGGCAAAACCGAATAGTGTGTCACCGGCCTTATTGTCTTGTAAACTGTTCATTTTCCAGCAACCAAAACTGTACAATCAATGTAAAATAGGGTTTTTTTTATTGAAGGAATGATCTAAAAATGCAAGAGTTTTGTAATGTTCCTTACTTTAATAAAGAAATATCCAATGTCTGGTACGAAAATAATTATCTTTTTAGTGTAGTGAAAAATAATGTTCAAAACTAGGATGATAGTGGAGCTATACATATTCTCGAGCATATTTAAAGTGCTCGATATAATTCTCACACCTCAACCATTCCAAAACTCACTCATTACAGTTTAGCAAAATTTACACAAGCTAAAAAAACATTTCTTGATTGTTATTCTCGTGTTTTTCAGTTGTTGTGGAAAAGTTAGTATATTTAGTTTTAGAAATATTTAAAAATAAATTATGCTTAATTAAAAATCTTTGGATATTAATGAGTTCTGAGTTTGCCACAGATTCTATATCCTCCAATTTTTTCCCCTGATATCTTTAAGTTTGAATTATCTGCATAAGAATTATTTTGCTCTCCCTTAGATTTACTAGTGTTTGGTTCAAACCGTTGATGTAGATTATGAACAATAAGGTTCCCAAAATTGACCCTTGAGGTACACCTTTTTATTTTTTCAAGTTTTGATCTTATTTTTGTTGTACTACTTCTACATTGAGCTCTGTTTTCTATATGACTGAAGCCAATTATAAGATATTTTGATAAATCCCACATTCTTTAGAATTTCCAACAACTAACTGTGGCAAACACTATCAACGTTTTTTTTAGGTCCATAAAGATGCCAATACATGTTTCACCTTTATCTATTGAACTTAGAATGGTTTCCACAAATTCTGCTGTTGCAGTCCCACTTGATCTCCCTTTGCGGAAACCATGATGAGATTCATCTAACAAACCCTCCGTCTCTAAATATTCCAATAGCCAATAGCCTTATGTGCATGGCTCTCTCATAGATTTTTGAGAATGTTGGGAGCAACGATGATAATTTGAAATTTGTTTAGGATCACCTTTTTTAGAGCTGGTATTACTTTGGCTATTTTTAGTTTGTGTGGAAAAATTCCAGGGACAAAGGATGAATGGATCAGATGAACCATCCATCACCTTTGCATATTGCTGGGCCAATAAATTTGATCACTTTATTTGTACTTCATCCCAGTGGCGGTTCTAGGACCTATAGACATACCAGAAACAAAAGAACCCTGGGCCATTTCGAGCCGCGCAGGTTTGAATGGTACGCCCCACCGACCGGCGCGAACCACGTGATCTTTTCGTTTCTGCGCAGGTTGTTTTGTTCTTGGGATGTCTATAGCCAAGGAGGGGGCTACTGGGGGGTGTGGAGCACTAGCATCTCCCGTTCCTCATCAGTAACTGGCGAGAACCTCTTGTGCGAAGGAGTGGGGGGCGTGACGTCACTCTACTCTTGAGGGAACACACATTATGCTAAAGCCAATAATATATATATGGGCGAACACTATGACCCCAATCAAGAGAGTGTCTATTTAATATATTTAGATTGTAACTCACTATACTCTACAGCAATGTGTGAGCCACTGCCTGTGGATAAATCCATTGGACTAATGAGATAGACTACAAAAATAATCAAAATGATGAGTTTGGACACATTTTAGAAGTTGATTTAAAATATGATAAAAGCTTACATGATTTACATAATGACTATCCATTAGCACCAGAGAAAATTAATGGCAAATTAATACCTAATTTAAATGACAAAACTAAATATATTTTACATTATAAAGCATTACAAAAATATGAGGAATTGGGTTTGATTGTTACAAAATACCATAGAATTTTTAAATTTAGACAGTCTAAATGGCTTGCGCCCTATATTAATTTTAATATTGAAAAACAAAAATGGGCTAAAAATGATTTTGAAAAAGACTTTTACAAATTGCTAAATAGTCTCTTTGGTCGAACAATTATGAATCAACGCAAGTTACGTGATTTATATCTCAAGGATCACCAATAAATGATGTGATCACCCCTATTGAGTGTCACTATTAACAAAATATGTCACTAATCCAAGGTTTGACTGTAGCAAAAAGTTCGATAACAATTTGCATGCTATAAATTTGAATAAATTAGTTGTAAAGTTTAATAAACCTATATATTTAGGCATGACCATTTTGGATATTAGTAAAGTAATAATGTATGATTTCCACTATATATATGTCAAAATTTAAGAACAAAAGATTTCTATTGACAGACACTGATTCTTTAATGTATTCTATAGTTACACAGGATTTTTACAAGGAAATAGAATGTGACTTGCACTATTTTGATACCTCTGGATATAGTAAAGACCATTTCTTATACTCTGATAAAAATAAAAAAGTCACAGGCAAGTTTAAAGACGAATTAGATGGTCATATTATGTATGAATATTGTGGTTTAAGACCAAAGTTATATTCTTACATTCCTCTAAAATGGTTATATGAAGAAGAC